TACATCTGCAACAGTATGGAAAAGTAGCAGGGGGGTTAGTGAAACATCCCCGACAGTGAGGATGCTGGGACAGGGGTGGGGGGCATTCAGGAAGCGTGGGGGTACTTCCACCTGAGCACAGCTCCGTCTGCACTGGTGCTGATGATGTACTTGTTGTTGGGGCAGATGCTGACACTGGTGATACTGCCGCTGTGCCCAATGCCGACGTGTGTCACTTCCCCCTCAGTGTACCCCCACACCTTAACCAGCTTCTCATCACCCCCTGCAGAGACACCCCCCCACACACACACACAAACACACACACATACACAAACACACACACACAGACACACACACATTGTGCCTCGTAACAAGGTCATTTTCTGTTGTTTGCTCTCTTTATTTAGCCATTATAGTGACTTTGAATCTAAATAAGTTTCTGATAAAATAAACAGTGTATTTACTTTCATAAAACGTAGAATAATGATACATGATGATACATTTTAAGTCAAGTTTACATATGATGATTTATTTAGTGATTTTAAAAACAATAGGTAAAAGACCTTGTCCATATTTTTCATATAGCTGTGCTGGTGAATCTTCATGTTAAATGTATCATCAGTGCTAACTGAAGTATCAATCCACATCCATGTTAGTGTAAAATGAATGTTACAAGCACGATCTCACTGTGCATACAGCAAAGCTGCAGACATACCTGTGACAAAGTGTTTTCCCTCGGGTGAAATATGCATGCCGTTTACGGAGCCCGAGAGCGAGCCCTCCAGCTCCCTGATGACAGACCCGTCATAGACCTCCCAGTAGGTAATCTAGTCCAGAAAGATAAGAAAATCCTCCTAAAATACTCTTTGCCAATAATGTTTGTGAATGACACACATAACGTGGTCTCATTTTTATTCTCATTAACTTAATCTTCATTAATATCCCCGATTAAGGAAACTAAAGTTTTAGCTAAAATGACCATCATACCAATTTCGTGTTTAACTAGAATCACCAGTTTCTTCCTAAACACTACTAAGTATAAATATCTCCATTTGTAAGTTAGGATGGTCCATCTGCATGTTTGCATTATAACAGAGAACATGTAACTATCAGAAATGTACTAATCACTTTGTAATTCATGGCAACTAATAATCTGTTACTCTAAAAGCAGACTAATTGTCTGTGGGGTCATGTGACATCTGCCTCTACATTCATGAGTGGCTGTAACTTTGAGTAATTTATAGCTCAGGGTAACAACACTCTCCACAATATCAATATAATATCCATGACAATAAAAACACTCTGCATCCACGATTTAATGCTGCACATTTAGGTCTTCTTGGTCAGTTTGAGCTGTGCTTGATGGTGAATGTAGAGTTTGTAGTATGTTGTGCGTGTGTTTGTTTGTAGCAGTTGCTATTTATTTCTGAATTAGCTGTAAGCTGAATTTTCTCTATTCCCTGAAAGGTGATGACATGACTTCTAAGAAACCTAGCGGCCATATAGAAATATGAGGAAGAACAACAAGCAGATTGGAAATTCTGTGGCTGGTTATGGCCCATGGGTTAGATTCAAATTATTAAACATAGTATTGGCTTATTTTTTAAACAATAGATGAGGAGACAGGCTAATATATCCATTCATCTATCTTATAAATTATGTATCTACGTGACAAATGTAGTCATAGACCTTCTGCGAATAAACCATAATGAGAAAGCTAAATATTTTAAGGGAAATATCAACAGGAGAAACTCTGACTCTAGCGAATCCTGGGTCACTTTGAGACTGGTGTCCTGTAGGGGGGGGGGCGTACACCAGTTTGGCTGCCTGTGATTGGCTGAAGGCCACCACATGACCCTGTCCTGGCTAAGTGGTCAGAAGAGGAAAGGATGGATGGATGGGTGGTTGGATGGATACTGCTTCAATGTTCATACAACAACACTATAGCCACAGTTAAGACATGTACTTGCAGTCAGAAGATTTTTTTTTTAATTGTCATTTTAAAATATTGCCAAGAAGATCCTACCTCCCTGGAAGATTCAATTAAGGAGAACGAAGATGGCCCCAGTGTAAACAGAAGGTTTAATTCCCTTTAAACTAGTTAATTCCCACAGTTGCCCTTATGATAAATTACCCCAACATTCAGGTATAACAAAGAAAACAACACGAATACAACAGCATTCATTTACCATCCTTACCTTTTATGTGTGCAGTGGGCTTCTATTCTTATTATGCATTTAAACATTTTTTACCATTGTTAGAAGAATCACAAAAATCCAGAACTTCTAAAATATGCCGTTGCCAAAAATGTCATGTAAGCATGTACAAAAGGCCCCCTCAGACAGTGACTGGTCCAGGATACCCCCACTCCAGTCGGGTGCTTGCAGGACCCCGCCCTCAGGCCGTCACATGACCACGCCGCTCCAATCAGAAAGCGAGAGACGGCGGCAGCTGCCCATACGGGCACCGTCTGTGTTCTGCTCCACCTGCACGACTGCAGGCTGCCTTGCTGCACGGCGGCAACCAGAAATGCTGTTAGGGCTAGTCGCACTGCCATGTGCAATTCTGTATCCGTCTTGGGCTGAAGTGATATATCACAGAGGAAACTAGCATTCAAAACTCTGCTGCAAAAGCAACTTGTCAGGGTCAGCCCCTGTTGTGGTCCTTCCCGTTTGGCCAGCAGGTGTCGCTGGTCATCCCGTTCTTTATGTTAGTTTTTGTTCTCCCCTGTTATCTGTCTGGTCATGTGGCTCAATGTGTTGAGCATGTGGTTGTCTGTGTACCCTTCTGTCCTGTGTTTGAGTCCCGCTGTCTTTGTATTTCTGATCCCTAGTGTTTCATTTGAGTTTCTCTAGTTCTTGTGTTTGACTTTGTGGTTGGTTTTTGTTTTGTTCCTTGTGGCCCTGCTTGTCATTACCTGTCTGTAATTCCCCAGTGTTGGTTCCTTATTCCTTGGTTAGTTCTTAGTTTCCCTGTTTAGTTCCTTTGAGTATTAGTTTCACCTGTGCCCTGTTTCCCTGGTCTTTGTTAATTAGCCTCACCTGTCCTGTGTTAGTCTCGTTACCCCTTAGTATTTAAGTCCCTGTATCTGTTCTGTTCGCTACTGGTTCCTTGATTGTGTTTGATGGTTGTTCTGTCAGATGTTCTCAGTATTAGATGTGTATTTAGGTTTTGTTGTTTAGTCTTTGTTAATCCCCTTTTAGTTTTTGCCCCTCGTGGTCTTTTTGGTCTTGTTGTGTTTGTAGTGTTTTCTGTTTTGTTTAATAAACCCTGTTTTTGTGTTCTTTGAGCCGCCAGTGGGTCGTCCGCCTTTTTTATGTGTACACTATGCCACGTTCTCGCACCCGAGCCGCCCGGATCCTTGACACAACTAAATACACTCTGTTCCGTTTATCCTGTTCCTTCACTTAGCAACTTTATTTTCCTGCAGTAATCCACTTATGTAGTCCTTGAGTAAAAATAATCCTCCCCTTGGTTAATGGATCTCTCAAATGCGAGGTAGGCCGTGCATTTCAAACCCCTCCATGCTGTTTATCAGGACAGTAGATTCAAGTGTGAAAATCTGAAGCAGACATGAAATGTTTATATCTGAACATTTAACAGACGCTTTTGGCCACAGCAGTATAAATGTTTAGGATTTAGATAAAGGGTCAGACAGTGTCCCTAGAGCAGGTTAAGGACCTTGCTCAAGGGCCCAGCAGTGATACGATCGTTCAGTTAGTGATGGGATTTGAACCCACAACCAACTTCCTTAAGCTACAGTGGAATCTAAGCTATGAGGCCTATATAGGCCACTGTGCAAAAGCAGTATTATCTCATTTGACCTCTAGTTGAAACCAAACTCAATAAGGTGTAAGCACCAGTACAATCATACACGCTCACCTCTGAAGAGTCAATGCAAGCTGGTCAATGAATTTCTCCAAATGTCTGTCTGGAGGTGCTGACCGTGATTGGAGCCAAGACCACTGTCCCTCAGGTCGACATCTTCACCAGGCTCGCGGAGACACTCAGATCCGTTCGATGAATTTAATTATGGACACTGCTTGTCCTTAGGCAGACAGTGCGGCCACTCCTCCAGCGAGCAGATGGCGCTCCTGGCACGCCGCCACCTGGCTGGCACGACCGCGACCGCGGGACGGCGGCGAGCCAGAGCCTCTTAGCAGCTCCGTCCCCGGGGGTGGGCCCAGCATCCGGCAGGCCCACGCCAGCCAATCAGCAGCCGCTCCTCAGCTTGCCGTTTCTCACACGCCCTAACAGTCCGGAGACATCCGTTTGATTCTGTCCACTAGCCTAGCTCCGCCCGTCCGCACATCGGACACGGGCATCTATGCTAGCCTGAAGAGCTGCTGCACACCATGGAGGACAGCTGACCTACATAAATATCGCTTGGCCCGCTCCTTGTTTGCTCTCCCTGTTGATCTGTTGAGCTTCTTTCAAACCCTTGTAAGCCCCCTCTGCTCTCAGCTTTCTCTCCTACTGCACCCCCCCCGACACTCTGCCTAACCCCCCCGGCGCTCAGAGACTCTTTCTCCCCTTGCATCTGCCCCCGCCACACCTTGTATAAGTACCAAACTTCCTGAAGTCCACTAGTGGTGCCTCTGATCCGTCCTTACCAGTCCCGCTGTGCTAACCACTATCTCACTGTTTAATTCATTTCTCTTCACTTGGACCTTTTCCATCAGAGTTCCGATTGGCCGTGTATTTCCACTGCCTCACCCCTGCCTCCTTTACTCCTTTCCCTGGTTCCCTGGTTCTCCGGTCTCCTGGAGTTCTTATCGCACAGCAGCCCACCGGATCGCCAGCTGCGTCGCTTTCATCTTGGTGACCCCACCGAACCTGCCAGTCTCCCACGCTGCTTGCTACCCGTCCCCTTGATCTTCCATATACCTCTGGCACTGTGGACCTAGTTAACCGCTCAGTTCTCCCATCCTGCCTCAGGGACCTTGGGAACTATCAAATGGAGCTTTTCTGGTTTCCTTATTCCTGTATGACCGCACGTGTCGGTCGCTTGGCAGGATGACTGTCAGGGGTCAGTCCTGAGAGATCTAGTCTTTTCAATATACGCGTTTCTTGAAATGTCTTAAGGAAAATCCTATTAAGTTCATGTTGACAGTGTGAGACCTCCTTTGACATTCCCTTCTATAACTCTCATGCATTTCATATTCTGGGAAGTAAAAAAAGTTCTCTGAGGGTCTTACAAGGCCAACATTCAATTAAACGCAGAAAAGGCGAAGAGTGCAAATAGAAAATTCATAGAAAAATGCAATAAGCTGAAAGATACTGAATTTAAACTGGATTTTAAAGCACCTTTGTAACCTTTTGCTGAATCGTGTACAATTTGATACCTTGTGTTTCACTTTACTGAGGCTTGGATTGCAGCCTGGTTTCTTAAAGCAAATTATTTGCCAAATACCAGAACAATATGCTGTAATGGGTGACAATGACAGGCACATAAGGCTTATTAACCGTCAGCTGAAGGACACCTTTCCCTAATAACTCATCCGTAATCTAGGACCTGAAACACGTGCCGCTTCAATTTCCATATCAAGGTTTTGCGTTACTTGTTACTGAGGCGGCTATTCTATTTTTGACTCTGCGTACCAGATTTACACTTCGGTATATCCGAAAAACTCTTTCTCAGATTCTGGAAGGGGTGTAAATGTCATGTCTGACTTCGAGGTCAGAGTCGTAACTGCAGATAGAAGGCTTATTCGCAGGAATCACTAGCCGAATGGGCTCTCGTCGTGTGAAGATGAATCTCTTTAAATGTATCCCACTTATATCCCGCAGTCTGTAAGCCTAGACAGCTCCAGAATGTTCCCTCGTGAGTCTGTGAGACACCGTTATGTTACAGTGTATCCTGCCCTTAATTACCCATTTTGTCCACCTGTTGTTTTCACTTAAGCTGCCAGCTTATTTCAGACATGATTGTTGGACAGTACAGAGACTAAACAAAACTGTTGAATCGAATCTTCCATAGAGTACAATGACACAAATATGTTTTCAAAAACGAGTACTGAAGTGGTTAAATGAATAGGCCATTACCCAAAAGTTGACAAGTGTCAGAGTGGCAGAGACCAAACTGGAAGGGATGGTTACCCCAACCCCAATTAGCTGAAAATGTCACTCTTATAGCAGGCCGGGAATTCATCCATTGGATTCATTCATCCAATGAATTTTCTTCACACCACTCTGAGAAACTTAACTGTTAAATCCCAATTCACTAATAATCAGGGCTGGAAATTCTAGGTCCAGAAAATAAAAATCCAGGCCAAGATTTTGTTTCAACCAACCAGCTGAGTACTCTGAGTACTGTGACTGTGAGTTTATGCACAACTGGTTGGTTGAAACAAAATCTTGGTCCGGATTGTTGCTTTCTGGACCTGAACTATCCACCTCTGCTAATAATAATCGTATTATATCCATAATAGCATTAAATGAGTGAAGACAATAGGGTGAGCAAATGACTAAGGAGCGAAATGGGGCTAGAGACTGGTGATGAACTCAGAACTCAGAATGTTAGCAGGAAGTGTGTCACAGGATGATAAAACAGCTGAAATTGAATTCAGGTTCCACGCTGATCCAAAAGAAACCATGTGTTGTAAAAGCTGCACTTCTGTGGTTCTGTGGGTCTAAGCCCAGCACTGGCCCCATGGTGACAGACGCCCTACCTTTCTGTCGGTCCCGCTGGTGATGATCTGGTACTCCTCGGGGTGGTAGCACACAGCCCTGAAGAGCGTGTTGGCCAAGACCATCTGATATCTCACGAAGCGGCTGCCAAGAGAAGGACATGAACGTTCTGACCCAGCAGACCTGCGGGCTACCAGCAGGTGGCGCCATGCGTTTCCGGCGATGGGGGGGGTGGGTGTCAGACCAGACGGAGAGGTGTCCTCACTCACACCAGGTCCCAGACGATGCAGGCCCCATCCGAGCTGGCCGTGACGCACTCCTTATCGTCACTCTTCAACCTGATGCAGGTAATGGTGGCCTTGTGCTCCTTCATGGTCTCCACAAGCTGGTGGGACCCTGGAAAGATCTGCCAGACCCGCACCTAGACAGAGAGTCCTCAGAGCATCTCGTACCTTAAATAAACTTAACTCAGAATCTAAAACGGAAGCATTTAAGCATTTTTACCAGGTGTGCTGAAACCTCGCAATATGTTTTTAAATTGACATTTAATTGCTGGTTCACAGTAACTTACATGACTTTCTGTTCTTACCATTTATGCAGTTAGACATGAGGCAAGAAGTGCAAAAGTAAGATTATTCAATGAATCTGAACCTGCATGTACATAAACATCCTTTTCTTTGATGCATAGTTACTATGAATACTGTTGTATTGTATGTTTTGTGTTTTTTTTTTGCTATTTTGCCCAAGAGACATTACCTGGCCCTCCCCTCCTCCACTGACTATCCTTTGGCAGTCTCTGGTGCCCGCGATAGCCGTCACACTCATGCTGTGGGCGTTGTGAATGATGCCACTCAGCGTGCCACTCTCCGGAGTGAAAATACGAATTTTCCCATCATTCCAAGCTGGAAAACAAAACGTACTACATGAATTGTATTTTACTGATTTATACTGTACACGGTAGTAAACTGTGAATAATATGAGATTAAATATACACAACTCCTTTTTTTGACAATTTTCTATACATTGTGTCTTACAAACAAAATGCAGCTTCTCTGAATCAGTGGTCTTGGGAAAACCATCGTTATAGACATTTCTCTTTTTAATTAAACAGGTTTGACTCAGGTATTGGCTGATGTGGCTTATTTCGGTTTTTTGAAATTCAGAAATGTCCAAATCCTCTATGTGAGATTTTGTGATACGATGTAGAGACCGAAAACATAGATGCACCATAAAAGTACTATTCTTGTTCTTAGTTAAGTATGTGAATATATACATCTATTTTCCATACTTCTTATGCCGTACAGGGACATAAGACTTGAATGTATTAACATTTAAATGCTTTTGTCACAACTGACTCAGCACAAATGAATGAACTTTTGTTCCACATATTTGACCCCATGTGACCCTTCTACAAGCACGATGACACAACCCAAGGTCGGATCGCCCCGGTCTGGAGAGGCAGGTGAGATGTTCTCCATACAATGAGGGCTCACCCACATGACTCACTGGCCTGGCACCAGAGGAAGGTCATATTCCATCCCACCGCATCCCCGATGCGTCTAACCCACCGCTAATAATACTCTTTCCGTCCCTCATAAAATCCACAGCGTTACAGGTCATGTTGGGCACCGTGATGCGCAGCAGTTCCTTGGAAGTCTCCGAGTGCCACACCCTGACGTCATCCTGAGAGAATGTGGCAAACAGCTCCGACGTGGCACTGAGAGAGAGACGTAACAAGCGATACTTTTCCATTTTAAGGTGAGCTAATGTTTGTTTGACTGACAAATCCTTTATGAGTGACCATAGGACAGTCAATCAAGTGGTTCAAGTAAAGTTGACTTATAGCGCCCCCTGGTGGCATGAATGCAAAACACTACACAAGGAGACACAGAGTAGTGCATGTTTTTTCCATGGCTGCCTGCTCACAATGGTTAACTGTATGTGAATTCCATGTGTCAGCTGGTGTGTCACTCACAAGGGGAAGACTACGCCTTTCACAGCGCTGTTGTGGCTCGTAGCGATGAGCTCCTCTTTGAAGTCCATATAGTTGCAGCGATAGATCTGTGCAGCATCCGTACCGACGAAGAACTGGTGGCCTTCACCCCGGAGCGCAACTGATGTGACACCTCCCTTTAGCTGCACTTTCCTGTCAGAGAACCGAATAATGCATGTATGGTCCATATCCATGTCTATACTGTAAATCATCAACAGGTGGCGCTGCAGTGAAGGCACTGCAACAAAATGCATCAAGGTTCATTTCACTGGAGGACTAGGTTCCTTTGGCCCAGGTGCATTTAAACTCAGGTGCCGGACTTTTAAACATGGAGGAGGACGTACATGAAGGTTGACTGTGCTGAATGTGCACCTGTGAACTCACCTGAGTGTTTTAAAGTTAGACCCGGAGCACAGGCTGCACATGCCATCGCCTGAGCCAACCAGGACGTCCCCCGTCTTCAGCGTGCTCAGGGAGTTCACTCCCTGCACAAACGACAGGCTGTCACTTCACGCTACGCCAGTCAGCACCACCACAGCAGAAAACAGCACTACCTGACATAAAATGTCATGGAGGGTAAGGTGGCATATGCAAAAACTGCACAATTTCCCCAGAGGGCTGAACAAAGTATCACTATTACACTCTATGAAAAACAGAAAAAGACAGCCATTTATTTCCAAAAACCACCAAAGGCAAAATTCCATCCATCCATTTTCGGTAACCGCTTGTCCTATTCAGGGTCGCGGGCGGCCTGGAGCCTATGGCCGCAAGGCAGGGAACAACCCAGGATGGGGCGCCAACCCATCACGGGGCACATTGACACACTCATTCACTCACACAAGCACACATACGGGCAATTTGGTGACTCCAAAGAGCCTCAGCATGTGTTTGGACTGTGGGGGGGGAAGCAGAGAACCCAGAGGAAACCACACGACGACACGGGGAGAACATGCAAACCCCACACACATGGAACCAGTGTTTTTATCATTAATGTAAATTATACCTCTTATACAATAACGTCAAATACTCCTCTATGATCTCCTTCTAAACTCTACTGGGGAAACATTTAAACTTGTATTATCTAAAGAGACAAATGTAGAAAATATCAGCTTTATTTACTATTGTGTATATTATTTTCATTACTTTAATGATGTACCTATTCGGTGGTATTGAATATAAAGCCCACTTAAAACCAATCATTTCCAGAGTTTACCTCAGACCTCTTAACTACCACTGGACATTGTCTATCTGAATTAATGCTGAGGGCCATTAGTACCATTTCCTGTTCTTTTTCTGAGACTAAACGAGCACGTCTTTCAAGGGCTGAACCGATTAACATCTGAGGAGGAAACCCCAGTCTTCACCAACCTTGCTGAATTTCTGTTTCACTGGCCAGCAGCTGTTGAGGAGTTTGGTCTTGAGATTGACTTTGAGAACATCACCGCTGCTCGTACCACAGTAGAAGAAATCGTCATCTTCTGCAATCTGCAATACACCATGCCAATAAAAGCCACACCCTTAGAAGGACTCTATTCAAGTCTGCATCCAGTTCACTTTACAGATGTTGAAACCGAGCCTCTCGTAAGCTTTCAGAAGCACTGCACAGCCCAAATTTAAAACTGCAAAAATTGTCGGGCACATTTGTGAGACATTCAAGCAGCATGACTTTTGGAAGATAACCTCACCTCCACACATTTCACTACCCTCTTCAGCTGTCCGGTCTGGCATTCTGTGGGACGTATCTTCCTGTTGGGAAGGTCCAGTTCCCAGACGCGGAGTGTACCACTGCCAAAAACACATTATCACCACGGTTAATATCGAAGCCATCACAAGCCACGTTTAAATGTCATTATAAAAAGTCTGAATCTTGATTAGCAACTGTGATTTAATTCAACTTAAGCACAGACATTAAGGAATACAGATTTATGCCTTAAATAAATGTAATTACCTTTGTAGTCTAAATAAATTTAATCACCTTGTGTATGTTGTTAGGCAAAAGCTACTGTTGTTTGTATCTAGTTTAGAAAACACCAAGAATCTACATCACTAAAATGTAAAATAGTGAGGGCAAAACAAATAAAAACAATACAAATATGTATGGAATTGTTTGTGATCATTTTCTGTTTTGGATTTTTTTTCTACTGTTATTTTTCTAGATGGTGTGGGATTTGATAGTATGACCAACACTGATTAAAGTCATAATTGGGTTCGCTTGCTATAAATGACCTACTTCCCAGCAGACACAAACACATCATCACTCTTGTTGGAGAACTGAACTGCCAGACAGTGACCGGCACTCTGTGCTGAAGCTGGACTCCCACAAATAGCTTCTTTCTTTTCAATATTCCACACGACGATACTGAAAAAACACAATAGTCACATGCGTGACAAATAAACCACACCATCTTTAAATCTTAAGTGTTTATCTGTGTCTTGGTTTTATCCATCTCTTGCTCTTCGCTTCTTCAGGGCAAACTTACCTGTCATCATCCTGACCCCCCAGAGATACAAGATACTTGTCATTAGGGGAGAATGCAAGATCCTCTACTTTCACCTTGTGGAGCTGCAGCCTGGCATGGATTGTCCTTTGAGGAAAATCCCAAATAATGATATCTGCCTGTCGGGAGAAGAAAAAAAAAACACAAGGAAACACAAAATGGGTTCCATATTTATTCGATAAAGATGGCAGCAGTAGCTGTTGCTGTAAAAATTCTTTGCTCAGTGCATCCCGCAAAACCTCGGCAAACAATGACAACACAGGAACATGCCCACTGCGTCATGAATCTTTGCTCTTCCTTATATCTTAATAAACAAGTTAAACACTTTTCACAGTTTGACTTCATGTTTTGTTATGCAGTATACACGAGATAAACTACAATAAGATATTTTGGAGGATGCGGGCATCGATCCCGCTACCTCTCGCATGCTAAGCGAGCGCTCTACCATTTGAGCTAATCCCCCATCCATAAAGGACCCAAAAATAGCGCGCTCCTGAGAGGCAATGTTTGTGCATGATTCGTCTAATGGATGTCTGTAATTAATGAGTACGTACCCTAAAGCCCATGAAGGTGACTTGGCCGGATGCAATGTAACGTCCACTTTTGGAGACTGCCACACAAGAGATGTTATTGGTGTGTCCATGCAGGAACTGCTGTTTGCCGTTTGTGAGACTCTTAAGTATAACTGTGGAGCCCAAGGGATAAATAAGATGTTCCCGATTGGGGTGCACTCGAAGACCGGAGAAGACATGTCCTACAAAAGTCAAGGTAGTGGTTAGCGTCATACGTAGAAGAATTACGGCACCAATACGTGGTATATCGCTAGTATGATTTTTTAAAAGTCTGCAATTAAAGCACAATCCTAACTGTTAAGTGCCATCATTAATGGCGTAAAATATCAGGAAAATGTTCCTGGTTAACAGAAAAACAGCATGTTGGTGTTCTAAACACATATTTCTGAAATTTAAAGAAAAATTTGCAGCATAAAGTTACCATATAGCCTTATTTTTAGTCACATGTAACGTGTATATGTAGCTACCCAAAACATGTTATAATTAACCTTATGGATGAGTTTAAAAATGACATATAGTGTTAGTTGTACGTGTAGATTTTAAGCGGTTATCATTAGTCTCAATAGTACTAATTAACTAGCAGGGAACACAAGTTTACCATTAAATCCAATGACTGCTTGAAGTTCAAGCTGTGGTACTTCTTGCGCGTCTCCAGACATGATTTTGTTTTCCATTAATCAGCAATATGCCCACCTTTCAGCGCTCGATTGCTCGCTTAAAGTTTTTCTCACGTTTTTTTCTCAGTGTAAAATGAACTGTAACACAGCAACGGGTGCATTTGTTTGGGTCCGTTTCTAGGAGACGACCACGTGGGGCCGGAGGTAAATAATCTATTTGTTGCCCTCTTGTGGCACGGGTCTGTCTGATCAAAATCCAGGCAATGTCGATGATTCATTTAAATATGGTACGATGAAGTTTATCATTTATAACTGCTAATCGTACGCCTTTAACCTTAATAATATTAATGACTCTCCCTTAACGGCTGTGTACAACCGAAGGCATTTTATTGAAAAACAGCGTCAACCGAAGATAAGTATCCCCGTCAGTGTAAATCGATAGAGGATAATTCAAATATTTATATATTCACCTATTCAACAAGAAAAAAGAAACAGAAGATAAAGGCTGTAATAGACAGATGACAAATGAATAGATAGATAGATAGATAGATAGATAGATAGATAGATAGATTGATTAATTCTTGAAGTGTCAGTGCCGACGGGCTTATGGTGGCATGCAAAAATGGGTGGCTCTTCTAATGATGGGCGGCTCTGAGAGCAGGTAAAAACACACTCTCTCTTCCAAGGCTCAGATGTTCACTCACCATTTCACTTTTCACTGCATTTTTTTGCCACATGGTCCATAGCAAGAATCAAGCAGGACCTGTCTGACAGAATACTGATCACCTCACCTGAGCCGTGACACTGTGAATGTTTACCATCTCCTGTTCGGAAGTATGTGATGCTTCCTTCGCAGAATCCAACCTCGGGTTCAGGAATGCACCACATACCCACAGAGTCAAACAAGTTTCAAAGGTAACTTTTATAAGGCATTAACATTTGTATCATATCATTTACACCAAGCCTCCTCATCCACTGTTTTCAGGAGGACAGTTATCTCATATCCCACAAGGCAGAATGTAAACCTGTAAAATTAAAATATATAATATGTTCTTACTGTGTAACTTTTATTTACGTTCCTCACAATGCCCAAAGGAAAGTCCAAAGGAAAGTGGTGAAATTTCTTTTGCAGGCCAAAGGTAAAGACTTCAAATTCTTGATTACTAAAAGTAACTTTTACTAAAAGTTAATTTCTTGTCATCTTACTGTATATGTTAGGTTATAATACATTTTAAATAGCAGCACGTTTTACACAGAATACAAACACACCACTAACGGTCTTCTTCAGCAGAATATCCTGACATATAGAAGAGGTTCTTCTTACATACAAACAGACTATTCATGATAATCCTATTTTTAATGGGGTTGTGCCCGATGTACGTTTTATTGCAAGATGTGGGTTACTGACCTTTTCAGCCTTTTAAGAGGTGAAAGTTCTCGCAAGGGTCGGGTCCCTCTCAGAACTATTCAGTGCCTAAGTTTTAATTGGGGTCACGTCGCATAAAGACCACCCAGCTCAGTGACAGGTGTCCATTCATGAAATGTCTTTAGCGAAACAAGGACATATTGGACAAGTGGATGCAAATGGGGGGGGAAATGCATAATAAGGCTTTTATGAGTCATCTGGCACTGACCTGAAACAAAGTTATGTTTCAGGAACCTGTTACTGCCCTCTTGACTTTCCCAAGAAGCGAGCTTTGTATTTTTTAAACCATTAACTGAAGGAGGTTACATACCCCATAATATGAGGCTTTATATACACCATAACCTTTAAAGATGATTAATCACTGTGGCATAGAAATTACTGCAGAACCTTTAAGGGAGATTTCTATTAAACAAGATTAACAAAATGAATGCAGATTGTACAGATCAAGCACGAATAATATAGTAATATGAGGTTCCTGATATAGAAAGAGTTTTGTATGTCCTCCAGACCCTTAGTGATGCCTTTCATTTGAACTGCATTTGCAAGTTAATGGGAGTGTATTTGGAAGTCTTGCCACTCAGCCGGTGAATATTTTTGGCTGTAGAAGGGGATAGAATTATTTGAACCAATATTAATTTAAGGCATTAATTTAAAGTTAAACAGGCGGCCGAAATGACAGGAATGTCCCGATTTTGTGGTATTTCTAAATTTATCTGCATATGTTCCATCAACATGTTTAAGTGCTGAATTTCACTTGCAATTACTGGGTAGCTGCATTCAGGAATCAAAATGAGATTTGATTCCACTTTCCTCTTTAGCGTGAGTATCTATTTCCCATCCATCCACGGCCCGTCACCACTGGCTGGGCGGCAGGTGACTGTTGACTTGTGCTCCTCTGACTCAGGAAATATTAACATGGTGTTTGTATATCGTCCATGTTGCATAGTTTCTGTTGCATATTTTGCAGAAGTGGAAAGTTCAGGTACAGAAAGTACAAATCTAGACCAAGATTTTGCTTCAACCAATCAGTTGAGTATAAAGCAGAAGTGGCCAATCTTATCCGCAAAGGGTCAGTGTATATGCAGGTTTTGGGACGGCCTTTTAGGAGTTGCAGTGAACACCCGCATACACCATAGCCCTTTCTTGATTGGCCACCCCTGGTATAAAGACTCACATTCACAGAGTACTCAGCTGGTTGGTTGGAACAAAATCTTGGTCTGGATTTGTACTTTCTGGACCTGTGCTTTCCAGCTTTGATATTTTGCATTTCTCATGGACGTCTCGTGGATCTATCTGGGTGATTCTCACGAAATCCTGGTATCGAAGATTTCAAACATGTAGTATTTAAAAAGAGTTGCATCAACAAATTTCTTTTTAGCCATTAATAAGCAGATCTGAAGTGTTTGAAAGGGTGAATTTAAAATCACCATCCCCACTGTCAAACATGGTGGTGGGAGCCTAATTTTTGGGGGTGTTTGTCAGCCAATGGACCAAGAAACCTAATCGCAGTAACCGGTACCATGAAAAAAGAGCAATACATCAAGATTCTCAACGACAACATTAGGCCGTCTGCAGAGAAACTTGGCCTTGGGCACCACTGCACAATTCAGCATGACCCAAAACACAGCAAAAGTGGTGAAGAAATGGTTAGCGGACAAAAACATTAACGTTTTGCAGTGGCTCAGCCAGAGTTCTGACTTGAATCCCATTGAGAATCTGTGGAAGGAGCTAAAGATCAGGGTGATGGCAAGGAGACCCTCCAAGCTGAAAGAGCTGGAGCTCATCGCTAAAGATGAATGGACAAAAACACCAGTGGAGACATGCAAAAAGCTGGTCAGCAATTATAGGAAGCATTTAATTGCTGTAATAGCCAATAAAGGCTTTTCTATTGATTATTGAGAAGGGTATGAATAATTTTGGACTATAGTTCTACCTCTAGCATCCCTTCCTTTGCCAGCCCCTGGAGGATGGGCTCCCCCTTTGAGTCTGGTTCCTCCCAAGGTTTCTTCCTTCTAGGAAGTTTTTCCTTGCCTCTGTCACCTCTGGCTTGCTTACTGGGGGCTTTGGACAGAGATAATGTAAAGTGCTTTGAGACAATGTAATGTGACTATGCATTATACCAGTGTTTCCCAATCTGGTCCTTGGGGACCCATAGTTGGTCTACATTTTTGATCCCTGCCACACAGTTTACATTTTTGCTCCCTCCCAGCTCCCTACTGTGAACTAAGAGCTGTGATGTCAAAGAAGTTGGGGCAGATGGCCTGATGTAGGGGAAGTGCTTCCCAGCCCAGAGTGGAATCTTGCTTCAGGCTGGCTTTGCTGAGGGAATCCCTGGGGGATGTCCCCTTCTCCCTGCTTCAGGCCGGCTTTGCTGAGGGAATCCCTGGGGGATGTCCCCTTCTCCCTGCTTCAGGCCGGCTTTGCTGAGGGAATCCCTGAGGATTGTCCTGTTCTCCTTGCTTCAGGCCGGCTTTGCTGAGGGAATCCCTGAGGATTGTCCTGTTCTCCTTGCTTCAGGCTGGCTCTGTGGAGGGAATCCCTGGGGATGGATGTTGACCAATAGCTGCTGTTGTGCTCCAGTTTAGCGCCCCGGTCTGGGGCACCAGAACTGTGGCTAATACTGTGGATACTATGATGGCTGGTCTTGTCTTTGAGTGTGTAGAGGGTCCACCAGAGGCCAGATGGACCCATGGCCTTCAGCTCACTGTGATCGCTCCATAAGATCTCCTAATTACCGGCTGCAGCCTTGGAGTAGATCCTCTTCCAGTCCACAAACTGTCCATATCTCCTTTTAAATATGCTAAAATGTGTTTTTAGTATGTGCCCTGCCATGGGTTGGCGCCCCATCCTGGGTTATTCCCTGCATCGTGGCTGAAGCTTCCAGGATGGGCTCCAGTCCCTCTGCGACCCAGGATAGGACAAGCAGGTTCAGAAAACTGAGTCAGTGAGGTTTTTTTCTATCAGACACTAAATTAAAATGTAATTCCACATGCACTTCATTTAAATTCAATTTAAATGTAAAATGAAATATAGGAAAGCATTATTTATGGTAGATAACAATATAATTTAGAGTAAATAAAAATATGGAAATTCCAGTAATGTTTAGAAAGACTCAGGGGTGACTTTGGTGGGACTGTAATTTAAATGAATTCCCCTAGGAAGGTTCCCCCCACGACCTGATCTTGTGGCTACATTGTATATGCCATTCATTGTTAATTTTTTTCATCAGTGTACAAATGGGAGGATGTGGACTTTAATAGAGAGAAAAACAGACACAGATATAAACAATGTTTTTTTTTTCATTTTGATTTGGCATAAATTGAAAATGCAATATTGGGTGCTAAAGTTGTCATGAGAATTAAACACTGTTGCACTTATAATACACAAAATAAAATGAAGGACAATGGGTGATGCTGCAAACTGCATTCATTTCCAAAACAGCACAGACAGCTATGACAACATAATAGTATAATGGTTGCTAACTAATATATACATACCAATGGCAGCAATGGATGTAGCCTCGACTCTTGTAAAAATTAGCCTGACTTTGGCCTTATCACTATGTTTTTTGTCTTTTGACTGCTTCTTCCTGCAGGGATGAGCATGATCTAACTCTCACAGGTGAAATTTTCATCACTGGAGCCTGTATCCATTACTGATATGTTTTCATTCACATTCATACTGTTGGAAAACTTCGATTTACATGCATCTC